ACCATTTGAAGACGGGGATGTGAAGGCGTTTTTGGAGGATTTCGAGGTGGCAGAGGCGGTAGGACTGAAGACGGACCGGGCGAAGATGGCGGCCCTGCGGAGTCTCCTCAAGGGCAGGGCGAAGGCGGTTCTGGAGGCGGCGCGAAGAGGTCCGGTCAAGTTGGAGTGGACCGCCGCGAAGGAAGCGTTGCTCTCTGGCCTGGACACGCCAGCGGACCGCCAGGAGGCGATGCGACGGTTCAAGGCGTCGCGGCTTGGTGCTGGGACGGATCCCCTCGTGTTTGCGGTGCACCTCAGGAGCTTGTTGGACCGCGCCTTGCCGGGGTTGGATGGGCCGTCAAAGACGCAGTTGCTGGTGGATCAGTTTTTGGCCGGCCTCCCACAGCCAACCGCGGAGCGCGTTCGGATTGCGAATGCTACTCGGAAGATGCAATTGGAGGAGTTGGCGCAAGTTACTCGAGACCTGGGCGACGCACCACTAGCTGCGCTGAAGGAAGAGCCTCGTGAGAATGTGGAACGGATGGACAAATTGGAACGGATGATGGAACAGCTTACGGAAGACATCAATGGGCTTCGCGTTCAGCGTTATCGGGTGCGCACAAAGGGATGTTGCTTCATCTGCGGGAAACCGGGGCACTGGAAGAGACAATGTCCGCAGAGGCGTGGTGTTACTCTGGTGTCGAATAAACGTGTGCAACCTTATTTTTCTTTTCGGATCGAGGATTGTGTACTTGGGGCGTTGAGCAGGAGTGCGGTTGAAGCAATGGTGGAAGTAGACGGAACGATGGAAAGGTGTCTGATCGATACGGGTGCCGCGGTGTCACTAATCAACCATCGGCGAGGTGAAAAGCTTCAGTCGTGCTGCACGATCGTAAGAGCGGTTGGCGGTCATTCAGTGGGAATTGATGGTATAGCCGAACACACCGTAGGAATCGGGGGACGAAAGCGAACACACTCCTTTCTCGTGTCACCAGATGCGAAACAAACCATATTGGGAGCAGATTTCCTGGAGCTCAATAAAGCTGTCATTGATCTAAAGCGTGGGAAGTTGCTAATGGAATGCGGGTCACTACCACTCATTAATCGTGGAGAAATGAGATCTTCGCAGTCGGTCGTTGCTGTGTTACATTTGAGCCCATCTTTGCAGTCGCTGATCAACAAATACCAACCCTTGTTTACGGATGACAGCAGCCAATATGGGTTTTGCGATTGGATCGAGCACACCATCCCGCTAACTCGCCAACCGTATCGGCCCCATGGACCTCGAAGGATACCAATCCACCTGGAGGCTGAGGTGAACAGGCAAGTGCAGGAAATGCTGGACGCGGGCGTGATTGAGGAGGCACATAGCCCGTACAACTCTCCTGTGGTCTTAGTGAAGAAGCCGAATGGGAAGTACCGATTCTGTGTCGACTTCCGAAGACTGAATGAAATTTCCTTGACTCGCTTCGTTCCAGTTCCATCAGTTGCTGACATTTTTGATCGGCTGCAGCAGTCGAGGATATTCACGGTCCTGGACTTGAGATCAGGATACTGGCAACTGGCAATAAAACAGGAAGATCGAGAGAAGACGGCGTTTACCGTTGGTGAGAAACAGTACCAGTTTAAGAGGATGCCCTTTGGATTATCAGGAGCCCCGTTTACCTTCCGACGTCTAATGCTGCGATTGCTGAGTGAATTGGAAAACGTGGTTGTGTACGGGGATGATATCGTGGTGTATAGCCAATCAGAAGCGGAACATATCCATCATCTCGCGGCAGTTCTGGAACGCATTCAGCAGTCGGGACTTCGTATAAATGGACCAAAGTCCCAGATCGGAAAGACCTGTGTCACCTTACTGGGCCATAAAGTGGGACAAGGCGAACTGAAACCGCTACCTGAGAAGATAATGACGATACAAGGCAGCCCAGTTCCCACCTCGAAACGCACTCTCCGTACATTCCTGGGCCGCGCCGGGTACTACAGCAAATTCGTCAAGGATTTTAACACCTTGGCCTCACCCTTGTACGAGCTGTTGAAACAAGACAGGAAATTCACTTGGAATGCAGAAGCTCAACGAGCCTTTGATCAGATTCTACAGGAAATGGGAAGGCAGGAGTTGACCCTGAAATTGCCCATTGCTGGTGAGGTGTTCACGGTAGCCACTGACGCCAGCGATGTCGGGATCGGTGCGGTGTTGAAACAAAACCATGGGACGATTGAGTATGCCTGCCGAACTTTGACGCCTGCGGAACGCAGATACTCAACCATAGAGAAAGAATGTCTCGCAATTGTCTGGGCGTTAGATAAATGGCGGCCATATCTCCTGGGTCAGCGATTTCACGTCGAAACAGACCACAGACCGTTGGAGTGGATTAAGTCTGCCAAAGACCCCAGAGGAAAGCTGGCGAGATGGGCATTGCGCCTACAAGAGTATGATTTCACGATAAAACACGTGCCGGGGAGGGAAAATCAGACGGCGGATTTCTTGTCACGCATGATAGATGATGATGACCTGCCGAGCGTAGCTTTCGGTATTAACGGTATACTGTGCGAGCAGGATCCAGAACGGTTGGCAACTGAGCAACGTAGCGACAAACTCCTGCGCAAGTTGATCACCGCGCGATTAGCTGGTCAGACAAACTTCAACAAAAACCAACTTAAGCAGCTGGGACCGTTTGCAAAAGACCTGGGAAAGCTGCAAGTGAACGAAGCAGGGATCTTAATGTGGATACCAGGAGGTAGCAACCCTTCGGTGCCAGTCATTCCAATGAAACGAAGACGGAATCTGGTAGTTTCTTGTCACGAGATGGCGCACACAGGTTGTTCCAGGACCTACGATCTGCTGAAACAACGCGCGTATTGGCCGGGGATGAAAATGGACGTTGAGAAGTGCGTACTTTCGTGCAGACAATGTCAGCTCATGAAAACGGATTGCCGAGGAATGCAGCAGCAAACGATGACGATCCCGGTCTCGGAAATTGGTGAACTTTGGTCGGTCGACGTGATGGGGCCGTTTCCATTGACCAGGCGTGGCAACCAGTACATTTTATTGATGACGGAGCACTTCACGCGATGGATTGAGGCGACAGGAATCCCGGATCAACGGGCTAGCACCGTTACCCATGCTGTCATGAATCACTTGGTAGCGGCTCACGGAATCCCAAAGGCCATATTAACAGACCAAGGGCCGTGCTTCGAGAGTGAAGAATTCCGGAACTGTTTGGAGAAACTTGGCATCAAGAAATTGCGCACCACCCCATACCACCCGCAAACAAATGGCCTGACGGAACGTAACAATAGAACAATCAAGGAGTGGCTAGCAGCAAAAGGTGGAGACTGGGAGGAAGCGCTGCCGCTACTGTTGCTGGCCCATCGAGCAACCAAACAGGCTTCCACAAAGAAATCACCATTCCATTTGATGTACGGTCGACAACCTCGTCTACCTGTGGACCTAGAGATTGGAATGTGGCCAACTTGCCGTATATCTCCCGAGGAGACACGGAATAACCGGAAGACCGCCAACCGCAACCTACAGGCGACTCAGGCGCGGATGATGGCGAAGTTCCAGACCAGCAAAGGTGGAAGGAATATCGAGTTTCAGATTGGTTCGAAAGTGAAGTACAGGGACCATCAACGCTATCCCACTTGCGGCCCAGGGGAGAGGAAACTCCTAGCGAAGTGGAAAGGACCGTACGAGGTAGTCGACCGGCGAGGCCCAGTGTATACAATCGCTCGGCAAGGTGAATCGCGGAGGGTGAATGCCGGCGAGCTGAGGAAGTGGTACGAATTGGAGGAGGAAACACGCTCGTACAGTGAACATCCCCGGCGGTCAGAAAGACTCCGACGGAAGGCAGCTGACGCGAATCCTTTGGAGGGGGAGGAGTGTGGTGGATTAAAGGTAGATACTACTTCGCCGGGTATAAGTAGTGTGGTGCAAGATGACACACCAACAGCGAGCCCTGCCGACTTCCCCAAAGTTGAAGATGACATCAGGATTACAGTTCCATGTGCACGAGGAGTGAACACAGAGGCAAGCACCAGTTGGGGAACACTCCATGGAAATCACGCAGATGAGCGGACGCCTCCAAAGTATGAACGAACACACCTAGTGTAAGCCACTTTAGCAATAAACAAGTTACCGCCTGCCCCTTGGGTTCTAACAGACTGTCTGTGGCCGCAAAATTTTCGTATGGACCGATATTTTGGCCATGCTAACTCGCCTAATACGCTTAAGTTCCATTTTGAGCCCACTTAATTACTCTCATTATCTCTCACTCCTCGACTTCTCTCCCCCCCGGTTTATAGTTGTTGATTTTGTGATTGTCGTTTAGGTGTCTGATCGGTTTTTCATCCTGTTGTTCGACTGACAGCCAGGAGATACCTTGTTGTTTCTGCAAATTCACTCGCAGTGCTTTTCAGCTCAAACTTTCCATTTAGTCTGCGACTGAGTAGTACTTTCCAAGTTTCCTTACTGATTGTCTAACCTGTTTAATACAATCATTTTAATCTACCGTGATCGATGAACCAGAGTACGGTGAACCCAGTTGCTTGGGTTTAGTAAACTCTCCAATTGCACACAAGTGTTGACAATTTTTGGCTATAGTTGTATACCTTTACAGTTTCCTCGCACTGCTTCTTCTCTTTCTTTGCTTACTTTAACTAACAATGCTACTTCTGCATAGCAATCGGTGTCAGCATTCTTTCACACATTTGTTCTTCCATATTTCCGTTGAAATTTGTGCTGCCTATAAGGACCATACGTCACTTCGTTTTCCTCATTATTGCAGGCCTGTTTTCTACCTTCGTTTATACTAACCATTTAGTTTCATATCTGATGGTTCGGGTTGATTGCAATGGTTGTGTGGTTCGCCCAGTGGTAATGATGTCATCTCGCTTGGTAAGGAAACCTACGCAACCAATTTACCATGTTCGACGATTCCCTCAACAACTATGGGAACATGTACTTCACTAATACCGGCACTTCTCATCAGCATTCTAACTACTTTTTTCTTATACAGTACTCCGATCGGTCAACCACACTGCTTCTGCATCGCTTTCGGAAGATTGTTAATCAGAATTTGGAACGCTTACATCTGGATCCGCATACTTTGCTTGCCGAGGCAAAACGGAGCGCCGAGGCGGCGACTTCTTCGATCTCCGTCATTGTTGAACACTGCCGCCATTCATCTAGTTCTGGAGAGGGGGACAGCACACTTTTGGCTTCGTGTCACAAGACTTTGGATCCAGATCATCCAACCTTACTTGGATCCGCTCGAGTCAATATGCACCTGCTCACTTCCAATGCACATCCGTCGCATAGCGTTGGGCCTAGCCAGCTACATGCGAACCAGTCATCTCGAGCAGCGATGGGTCTCTCTTTATTGGGTTAGCTTGTTTTCTGCCATCAGTCTTGTATTTTCTTGAAGCATTTCCTTCGTCTCTTCCAGTGTTTTACATGGAGTTTGTATATTTCTTATCTCTCAGCAGTTTTCATGTGTAAACTAGGCCGATATGTTCGCACCTGTTTTTCCTTACCGTTTCTACGTGTTCTATATTAAATACTATTTCTTGCGAGTTTTTCCAATTAGACGCATATATCTATTTAGATGTATAACACTGAGAGTTTCTCTATTTCTCATCTGTGCTTCCCACAAAGTGTAGACCACCAAGTACTCAACTTTATCTTCATTCGAACCACTTGCGTTTGCCTTGCCCACTGCCTACCTTCAACTGAGCCAAGTGGACGAGTCAAACACTGCAGGCCGGCGTCTTCATTACCTGGACTGATTACAAACTATCGGTCCCGAGGGCGAAATGAAACCACTTTCATGACAATTGCGTTTGTCTTACATAATCCCGTCGTCGTCTCCCACAACGTTTTAGGTCTAGTGCTTGAAGATTTCAGGAAGCGTACTTCCCTTTTAACATCCATTCTATTTCCTTATTCGGCTACCCTGTGGCACAATTGGGTTTCGGTACTAATTGCCAAAAATCCATCGTATGTATCATTGTACCCTTTCATTCCAGCGGACTAGACGCCTCATTGTCCAAGACCAAGGCGGTCGCCGTTGGAATTTCTGGCATACAGATCCTCACCGTCTTACGACTGCTGCAAATGCTACCGATTTTAGTATCCCTGATGGCTTGGATCTGGATGCAGCATGGAAACTTTTGTACAACAAAATGTCACTGATCGAGACGATCGTTCCAGTCACAAAAGGAAAACCTTTCGCCAATGGTTCATCCTGGATTGATCGTGAATTGAGGTCCCTGATGAACAAAAGACGGAGATCATGGGATCGTTTCAAGGCTACCCAATCGGAGCGTGACTACTCGAGCTACAAAGCATTTCGAATCTCTGTATCACACAAAAGCGCAAGAAACGGCACTTTACAAAACCTCTTTAGCGGTACGATCCAGTGCAACTCCCAAGGTACTCTTCTCCTCCCTGAAGAAAACTACCAATGCTGCTAGTAATATTCCCACCATGTATTCCACTGAACAAGTTGCCTTACTTCACGAAGAAGCCCCGAAAGCCAGCCTTCTAGCCAGGCGTTATTCGGCTGTCTACTCGATCGAGACACCGTTCTCCAATGATATTGTACCCACGTTGCCCTCTCTTCTGGGGTACGTAGATATCAGTGTCGATGGTGTCGAGAAGCTCCTTCTTCAGCTTGACCCGAATTATTCTCCAGGTCCTGATGGGTTGCAACACTTGTTCTTCAAAACTGTGGCTACTCACACTGCTGCACCTGTCTGCGGAATCTTTCGTCGCTCATTAGAAGCTGGACCCCTCCTGGTTGCTTGGAAACGGAATGGTCAAACCGATATACAAAGAGGTCGTCAACATCTCGCGCGTTATCGACATGTTTGCTCAACACCAGTAATATGCAAAGTTATGGAGCGGATTCTCAAGCGAGCTCTCCAGCTTCACCTGGACCTTCTGGACGTTATCTCTGGTGCTTAGCATGGGTTTCGGAGTGATTGCGGTCATGTATCTCAAACTTGCTTGTTGCCAGAGAAAAGTAGGCGAACTCAGTGGTCGCTGGCAAACGCCTCAGTAAAGCGTTTGACAAGGTACCGCACAAACGGCTCCTTTGTGAACTCCAAAGAATTGGTGTATCTGGGAACTTTCTCTCTTGGATCTCCGATTTGCTGGTTGGTGGTGCTATGCAGCGGATGGTGAATGATGTGTGTTCCGTCGCAGTGCTTATGGCCAGTAGTGTTCCACAAGGGTCAGTCCTTGGGTCTGAGCTCTTCAGAATCTTCATCAACGACTTACCTACCACCCTTCATATGAATTGTTTAATCTATGCGGGTGACCTGAAGCTATGGATGGTGTCCAGTCTGGATGATGCCGATATGCTACAGTTGTCGCTCGATCTACTACACGACTGGTCAGTCAAGTGACAATTGTCATTGAATCGCGACAGATGCTCCGTTTTTCCAATTGGCGCTTCTGAACCGTTCAAAGTCCATCATATTGGTGGATACTTGCTCAAAAATGCTTGTCAAGAGAGGGACCTTGGCATACTTCTGTCTCCTGACCTACGGTCAACTCAGGACACCTTGAAGAGGGTCGCCTCTGCCACCAAGATGTTCTACGCTATACGAAGTGCCTTCTCCCGATTGACGTCAGATGTCTTCAAGCTTCTGTTTGCCTCACACGTGAGGCCGATTCTCGAGTACGGATTGCCTGCCGCCTATCCTCTTACGAAGACTGAATGCAACCTGATTGAGAAGGTTCAGCAACGCGGATCGAAAGGTGTCCCGGAGTTGCGGAATCTCTCTTCTCCCCTTTAGCTTCAGCGGGTGAACCTGTTCTCCCTGGATTGTCGTCGCCGCCGTAGAGACCTGATTTTCACTCGACGTATTCTAAGAGTATAGCCTCTTTCGACTGAACTCTGAGGGCTTGACTCGTGGGCATAGCTGGAAGCTGTTTGAACCGCGGAGGCTTCGATTAAATACCAAACTTGCTTTGTCTACTTTTGTGGTGAACGACTGAAACTCTTTATCCAGGCAACTGGTCGATGCGCATACAAAGGAAAGTTTTACACAACTGTTGGATTTCCATCCGATGCGTATGCCGGGATTTTGCTGTTTTCAGTGCATCTACAACGACCCCTTGTTGAACCCCGTTCCTCCGCGAATAGGGGCGTCCGCACAATGATCGGGAAATGATGGAGCTGACAAAGGGTCTCTCTTCTGCTCTATACAATCTAATGAATGCTTGTCCAACCGCGCTTCTATTTCCCAATTAGGGCTTTTTATTTGCCAGTATTTATGCTTGGCGCTTTTGGTTAATTGTCAAGCCTTTTTGCAAATTTTTTTACTTCGGAACGTAATTTATTTTCCCACAGAACCAGTTAGAACTTACTACACTACTTTATTTTACCTAAATGATTTGCGTCGGATTTCGGCCTTTGACAACGGTTGTCTGCGCAGGATAGCTGGTGTGTAGTGCCAGCACCACTTCTGCAATGTCAATGTTAGACGTCGCGTCCTCTTGACAAGCTACTATCGCTGCGCCAAACGTGGTGGCTTGGTCACGTCCTACGCATGCCGTGCGAGTACCACGGCGCGCTCTATTCCCTCGCGCGGCGCCGCATTGGAAGAAATCACGTGCTGACCAACCTACCACTTGGCGACAAAACGTCAGGGCGCAGACTTCCAGTCTAGCTTTTGTCGGCCCCGTACTTCTTCTGGACTGGGGAGTCAGAGAAAAAAGCATCGATATTTGGAGACTTGAGAACATGGCGCGTAATCGCGGGCACTAGAAGGCTTGCATGAGTGCTAGCATTGATTCTACTGGTCAACACTGTAATCACTAAACTGACAAAGAAAGACAAAACGGCGTGTGAAAGACAAAACATTCTCTGTGTATTTTCCATTGTTTTGCTCTTTGTACCTATTATACACATTCATTCCATGACCTAATGTACTGGCAGCTCGGGTTGATCGTTCCGAGTTTCACCTGTTCATTTAGCTTTCTAATTGGTTTCCAAACATTTCATCACTAAACGAGTTGACTTCCTCGGTTAAATGCAGTCCGCTGATTTGATCTTCGATTTTTGATCGACCAGCAAGTGTCTTCCGAATTGACCACGATCTGTACCCCGTGACCTTCACTTATTTGCCCAAGGTCTGATGGACACGAACGATCCGTGAGATCGTTTCCTCCTGGCTGTTGCGGTTGTGTTGTCTTTGGCTCCTTTTGCTGCCCACGACAGTTTTTAACTTGTTTTACTTCTCTCTATCTTAACCTTTGATAAACTGGGTCAATCTCGATATGCATGTTTATCGAGTACCATGCTTCAAGAAATTCTCTTCCTTTTCGAATCTCTCCTTGTGTTTTGACCTCTTTGTTGTTCCAATCGAAGTGATGTTATTCTACGTCCGTCATACAAAGTTTCCCACTTTACTGGATTTGCTCAATTCTGCTACTCTGCTTCATATTGGTGTCAAACATTGCTTGTTTATTTTCCTTCGAATTCTGTGTTGATTGTTTGATATCATCGGAGTGGCTGCGCTTGGCGTTAATGTTGACTAGATGTCTACCTGTCTAGCACCCTTCACATCGATTACTGGCTCTAGGAGACTGTGAATCGTTGTTGGCTTGGCTGTGGTGCACGGTCCTCTTGACCGTGCTAAGCTCAACTAGTGGTTCCACGCACTCAGTGTGGAGCGGACTACGGTCCAGCCACCGCCTTGTGTACGTCTGGTACGCATGATTTCCCAATTAGGCATGGATACTTCTGCTCTGTTTGTTGAAGGAGTGTTGGCCGGCTCCGTTGATGAAACGTGGCTCCCATCCACTTGCCTCCCGGTCCTATTCCTTCGGGTTTACACTGGAGATGGGGTATGTCGGTGGGGCAGTCCAAGCCACCCTTGGTCCCTCTGTGGCTGTCCTAAGAACGCCACAGTGACAGGTAAATCCAAAACTGGATGCGCCAACCATATATATCCCATTCTTCAGAACAAATGTTAGCGAACAAGCTCGTTTTCAGTAATTCCTCATCAGGCTAATACACCACAAATGATATCTCATTCTTCCGTTTCTCATATGGGTGCGTGATTAACAAACTGCTTCTGGAAATGCTATGCCTAGTGCACCACACCAACTTCCCCAATATAAATTGTAACGCCAGCTCTGTGCCTGATTATTTCGCGTATAGATGGCTTCTCTGGATGAGTCTAAGAATTTTTGGAACACTTACCTTTGTTTCGCACCGCCCGCACCCCCATAATTGCCATAGTCAGAGGCAATCTTTTCGGATCATAAACACTTCCATATCTCGCCTTGTGTTCGGTGAAAAGATCTAACGTTTTTAGCCTACGGTGCCGTGACAATAATTAGTGCCAGTAGCAGAACTCCCACTTAATGCACAGCAACAAATATTATGTGCTTTGCGCGACTGTTCGAAAACCATTTTTCGTATCGTACCTAGACAAGCGCTTCTCATCTGTGTTCTTACTAAGTCAGGTTGATTCGTGTACTATCAGTTAGAGGCCAGCACATTAGTTGTTCTTGGTTTAACAAGTCGTCTAGATTTCTACGTGTTTGTAAATGCTCAATTGGTTTGTTTATCGATTTTTTCCTTCTTTTCTGCTACTGAATCCTTTCCTTTTTATTTTGCCCCTGTCGTTTTCGCTGCAGATAAATCGTTACGGCCTACCCATGTATTGAGGTTTTCTGAGTCTGAGGATTCTGATCAAGACGAGTCGTGTGAGCCTGTCGCTGGTTCTCGCCGTTTGTCTACTAGATCATTCTCCGCTTCAAAGAGCAAGAAGAGCAACATTCGTGTATGCAGTCCATCACTTTCCACCGCTGACTTCCAGGAAGCCGAAATCGATTCACACGAAACCGATGTAGAAAGTAAAACCGAAGAAGAGAACAAAGAGAACAGTGCTGTTCAGCGAACAAGACGAAAGCATAAAACCAAAGCCATTAGATAACATGTTTATAGATTATATGAATTAACACTAGGATAACTGCACGCCGTCATCTATTAAGAACGCATTGACCACATCCATCATTCATGTTTCTGCGTCTACTATTTTTCTGCTGTCATATTTTTATTCCAAAATGTACGTTCTCTAACTCCATCTTCATTACCGAATGTTCATGCTTTACCGCGTCATAAAGCCCTAGTCTCACGAGAAATTGTACACTTTCAGGTTTTTTGAGGCTTTACCGGTGTTGCACGTGTTTACATTTAATGTATTTAGTCGTCTTAGATGCCTAACTTAGTTTTAAGCAGCTCACACGGAGTCTGCAAATACATGGCGCGTATGGGCCTACAGCTCATCAAACGGGATACAAGAAGTTGGTGTTTGTCCTCATCTGCTTATCTTGACTTCCGAAGTATCTAGCTTTGTTATGGATTGCAAAACAATGAAAAATAGACGTTTGTCCCTCCTAAAATCGGATAGACTTTTCAATTGAAATCGGTGACTAGTCCTAGACTGTCGCTAATACCATGTGTATAAAGTATCAGTGCGGATCGGACGTGGCGTTGTATAGTTGATCAAGACACATAAGTAAGATTGGTACTACCAGGAACATCCAAGTAACCTGGCGTAGCTGAAGTGTCAGTAAGTTAACTAGCCAAGGTAGGCAGATATTAACCACTCAGGCACGCTCAGTTGAATGTTAAACGAATCATCTTGTTTCCACCGTGCTATTATTACCCGCCGAATTTTCTGTCCTCTCTGAGCGTCTATTACACCACAATCAGTCGTGAAACTTCCCTTTCCAAGTGTAACACCGAACTTGAACCCAACAAAATGCTATCACTAAAAGACGGTGACAACTCACTTGTCGTTTGTTACTCTACTCGCTCTGCTTAACTCTATATTGATCATTGGGGATATGCTTTCCAACTGGCTATTATCCGCTGTCATCAAACTGGTGAACTAAAATCACCAGACTGACAAGTCATTGGTTCGTGCAGTGAGTTATATTGCTCTGATTCGAACGAGTGAACAGCTCTTTCATCGTTTCATGTAGCTAGGCTGAATTCGTTTGCGTCTTCACAGATCCTAGCTGCTCAATGAAAACTGAACCAGACCACCACTCCAACGGGACATGCGCGCGCGAACTAGGCAAACCTACCATACCGGGAATAAGAGACTGCTCTCTTCTAGATACCGCTCACACTGAATCTGCCAAATGGAACACAGGTTTGTATACGCACAGATTCATAGCACCAGTTACCGTGTCAGACATCATTTTGGCTGGACGAGTGTGTTTTTATTCAACAAATTTTATTGCCGAGGTCAGTGCATATGCCAAACTGATTATATTGTGGTAACTCAATTGCTCTAGAGCAGTGGTTCCCAACCTTTTAGACGCCGTTACCCACAAAGGGGGTTGCCCACCAGACTTTTACCCCCAAACTTTCGAAAGACTACTACGTAATAACTATTGCACATTTCGCTCTAAAGTTCAAAAACAAATGTCATATGTAGTTTCACGTTCTCATACAATTGAAGGAAACACCCCTTCTCACTACATAATTATCCGACTTAAGTACGAGAAGTGATCGGCAACCGGAATCTCCCTCGACAAATAAACGAAGGAAAACAGTACTTTTAATTCAAAATTCTATGCAAACAAGAGGCGATATACATCAATGAGACGGTTGGTATTGTTTGGTGGTAACAATTTCCGGTATATTTGGTGCAGTTTCGGCCAATGCACATCGCAAGTCGTGCTCCAAGTTCATTTGATTCCTTGCTTTTGTTTTCATTACCATCATTGTCGAAAATGCACTTTCACATTTATAAGTTGTTGCAAATGGGATCAATATTCTCAATGCGCTTTCTGACAGTAATGGATACTGTTCATCTATCTTTGCCCAAAATGTTACTAGTTGCGTGCTTTGGAAATCTACCTTCGATCCGCTGTCCTCGCGCATTCCTAGGAATTGTACCTTGATTTCGAATTCAGTATCTGGAAATATTCCTTCAGCTACTGTAAACGGTCTTAGCACCCAGGCACTTAATTAGCGAGTTTCCAAATCAGGAAAATATTTGCTGATGGAATTCATCACTGATGACAAGTGGCAAGATATTTCATTCGTGAATGCGCATTTTTCATTTCTTTCAACAAGCACCGTCGTTAGTTCTGGAAATATCGCGACGTCGTCAACATCAACCGAGCGCTGGTAAAGCTGCAGTTTGCGAAGGAAACCGGCCACTCTATCCTGAGCGACTAAAATGTTCATCATATTCCCTTGCAGGCTGAGGTTAAGCGCATTGATTTCTCCAAAGAAATCAGCAAGATAAGCAAGTTTCGAAATAAACACGCTGTCCGTTATAATAACGTGTAACTCGTTTCCCTTACCGTTATGCATCTCTTTTCTTCGAAGAAAGATTGCAATTTCCTCTCGAAGCTGAAGCACTCGGTGCAACACCCTGCCTCGTGACAACCAACGCACTTCTGTGTGAAATAGTAGCACGTCGAATTTGCCTCCAAATTCATTGCACAACTCTTTGAAGATTCTTGTGTGGGCCGCACTACCGCGGATGACGTATACTATCTTTACTACTATGGTTAACACGTCAAGTAAAGCAGGTGGAATAGTGCTCACTGCTAAAGCATAACGATGTATGATGCAGTGACTAAAGGTAGCGTGCGGAGCAACATTTTTGACCAATGTTTGGAATCCGGGACGGACGCCCAACATGGCTGGTGCTCCGTCTGTACAGACACCCACTAACTTCGACCACAATAGCATGTTTTCCTCGAGGAACTTCTTTACTATTCGGAAGACATCTTCGCCACGCGTAGTCGTGCTCAAGGATTCTGAGAACATGTTCTCTTCTTTGAAGCTATCACTTTTTAGGTACCGAACATACACAAGTAGTTGGGAACAGGACGCTACGTCGGTCGACTCATCTAACTGGATTGCAAAGAAGGGACTTGATCTTATTTCGTTGAGCACCGTGTTCAAAATTTGTTTGCTCATGTCCTCGATACGACTTTTGATGGTGTTGTTCGAAAGTGATATCATATTAATCTTCTCCGCATGATGTTCTCCAAGAACGAGCTTAACCGCATCCATTATGCAAGGTTTGATGACGTCCTCTCCTATAATATGCGGCTTCTTGTTTTTGGCGATTCGAAGCGCAATGCGATACGAAGCTTCAAGGCCAGCCTCCTTTGCATGAGAAAAGGAGCTTGATGTATCCAGGCGCGAAAGTTTTAGCGCAGCTTCTTTCCTTCTAAAGAATGTAATATCTTTTCCTATCAAATGGGCATGGCTTTGTTCGAAGTGCTCTTTCAATTTACTAGGTTTCATACTCTCCGCCGTGAGCACTTTGCTGCACAAAACGCATTGCGGTTTCTCAACATTTTTATCAGCGAAGTTAGTGAAGTCCCACTGCGGAAATGCTTCTTTGTAGGACCGCTTTTTTCTGGAAGACGTATTCCCTGCAAACAATTAAGTAGGTAGATGTTATAGATATATATCATTCATAGAAATTAATCTCGTTATTCCATGCAGGTGACATTATCGCAAACGTTCGCAGACAAATATATTTTTGTCGGCATCAAAGCCACTGAATGAAAATGCTCACCTGCCATGACTTCTCGTCAAAAGCAACTGCTCATGAAAGTGATCAACATAACACCTAATGGTCAGTGGCGTCCAATCTGCTGATTCTACGTTGGTTTTGACCCCAATTGTATCGTTTCTCTGCCCTTTCAAACGCCTACCGTTATCCCGATTCAGGCCTTCTCTGGACCCCATCGTGTCTGATTCCTAATCAAACATGAACATGTGTTTCATTCCTCCGTTCCACGTTATTCCTCGACATTTTCCCGACATCATTCTGTATCCATACCTTGTGAACACTAATCGTCCTTTCTCGCCGTTCCTACTGTCAAACATTCACCTGTGAACATAACTGGTACTTTGACCAGTGCTGAAACGATAGTTTGCTATCCACCCCGTTATTCGACCCGGTGAACGACTGGCTTATTCGAAAACATGGCAGCAGTTGTGGCAGTCGACAAAGGCGCCATGCCGTAGTAGCTGCATTGACTGATGGCTAACTAAAAATGCTGAGCTAGTTGCGATGTGTGATTTCGTTATTAAGCTCATTTCGCGACTGATTTGTGACCAAATCCAATTATCGGTATTTACCCCTCGGAAAATGCCATTTTACCCCCTTGGGGGTAATTACCCCCAGGTTGGGAAACCCTGCTCTAGAGGTACAGTTTTTCCGAAAGTCGTATTCACTGCTGTCATGAAGAGTAAAATCACTCAGGAAAAACCCATTAATTCAGCAGGCACAAGTGGAAGCGCAAATAAAGCTGCTCGAAACCTTGACGCAGCGGTTCAGTTTGCAGTTTTCAGAAATAGCTTCGCGGGACACTCAGACAAATTCATTTGATCTCCTCTGCAATTCCATTATGATCCTGATTCCGGAAGCACTCTCGATGCGTGGCTCAGACGATGGGAGGATATGTTCAGAACGGATTTCAGCCGACAGGAGGGCTCCTGGAAAGTGCGATTGCTACTCCGTAGACTGGTCACAGATGAACATTCAAGATTCACTGATCACATACTGCTAAACCAGCCGAAACGGGCTTGTTTTGCCGAAGCGGTATCACAGCGCGATTTTCGGCGAGTCGTCATTATTCAGCGTTCGCTATCAGTGTCTGAAACTAGTCAGACGGGATGCAGACGACCTTGGGGCGCTGGCAGACATGGTCAACCGTGTGAATGCTTCAAGCTACGCTCTTTGCAGATGACCAGTTCAAATGTCTCATTTATCGATGCCTTACAGTCTCCACAGGATGCCGAGATCCGCACAAGATTACTCGCAAAGCTTCATCAGGACCCAGAAACGACACTGAAATCCCTCACTACCGAGTGCAAATGATTGATGACTCCTAAACCCAACAAGCCATGGTCGAGAATTCTTCCGTACAACCACGAAATGTCCATGTCGTGACAGGTTCCAAGCGAAACAGGGCTGACAGTTCTGCTCAGAAGTCACAGAACAAATCGCCTACTGTCGGTTGGTCATACCGTGAGTAACGTTTCGCTCGATTCTGCCCATCCAAGAAGCATATTTGCCATAAGTAGCATAAACGGGGCATAAGGAAGCACTCTCGACTAGTGAACACAAAACCGTTCCGCCCCAAGAAGCAGGTCAAAATTGCCGTTGCAGACTCCCTGTCAGTATTTGCCGCTTTTCAGAGTGAGTTCAAACCCCGCAGACGTT